GTAAATCAATACATGTAATACACTATATTAACAGAGTCAAGGACAAAAACCATATGATCATCTCAATAGATGCAGAAAAGGCATTCGACAAAATCCAACACCCATTCCTGATAAAAACCTTACAGAAAATTGGAATAGAAGGTCTTTATCTTGACTTGATTAAGGCTATCTATGAAAAACCAACAGCCAACATCATACTAAATGGTCAAAAACTGAAAACTTTTACACTAAAATCAGGAACAAGACAAGGACGCCCACTATCACCACTCCTGTTTAACATTGTTCTTGAAACATTAGCCACAGCAATTAGAAAAGAGAAAGAAATAAAAGAAATAAAAATAGGAAAGGAAGAAGTGAAACTGTCATTATTTGCTGATGATATGATACTTTACATAGAAGACCCAAAATACTCTGTCAAAAGACTTCTAGACTTACCTGACAAATTCAGTAGAGTAGCTGGATATAAGGTCAATACTAAAAAAAAAATAGCCTTTTTATATACAAATAATAGACTCACTGAGAGAGAAATTAGGGAAACAATTCCTTTTGCAATAGCATCCAAAAAAATGAAATATATAGGAGTCAGTCTAACAAAGGTACCAAAAGACCTCTACACAGAAAACTATAGCACTTTGAAAAAGGAGATTGAGGAAGTTATAAGAAAATGGAAAGATATCCCTTGTTTCTGGATAGGAAGAACCAATATAGTGAAAATGGCCATACTTCCAAAACTATTATATAGGTTTAATGCAATCCTGATTGAAATTCCAACAATATATTTCATAGAACTAGAGAAAACAATCCAAAAATTCATTTGGAACCAGAAGAGACATAGAATAGTAAAAGAAATTTTAGGCAACAGAGATATGGCTGGGGTATTACAATCCTCAACTTGAAACTATACTACAAAGTTACTGTGATAAAAACAGCATGGTACTGGCAAAGAAACAGACCTGAGGATCAGTGGAATAGATCAGAAGATGCAGAAACAACTACAGATATGCTCACCCACCTCATCTTTAACACAGGAGCCAACTGCCCTCATTAGAGGAAATATAGCCTATTTAATAAATGATGTTGGAAAAACTGGATTTCAACCTGCCAAAGATTAAAACTAGACCCATACCTATCACCATGCACTAAATTAAGATCAAAGTGGATT